CAAAACAAAACGATTAAACTCAATTATACTCAATTATATATATTTGAGTATCCGCCCTTTCTATTGCAAAGCGCCCAAATATTTTAAACAAATTATAGTAATAATTCAACCTACTTTATATTCAACAAATATTTTTTATAAGTGCTTATAAAGTGCTTTGACAAAAATTGTGATGCTATGAAGGATAAATTAGTATGACAATTAACAGCCTGATAAACACGTTTGCAACTTCTGCTATCATTAATTTTATACCAGCTGACACCGTTCACTTCTTCCTATCATTTTTCCATTTATAAATTGATAATCCATTCGCGTCAACACCAATTTTAGTTCGACGTCCTTTTCCCTATAATTCCAAAAATAATAAAAAATTATAATAATAAAACGTAAATAATGAGTTTTTTTTTTGAAAAAAACGAACCATCAAATTTTTTTGAATTTGTAATTCTTGTTCCGCTTTTTCCAATTGCTCTTGTCGTTTTATGCGAGCTTTTAGATCTTGATATTTCAATAATTTGTTTTTATGTAATATCTGATACATTTTTATATTAGTAACGTAAGCAAAATATAGAATATATTGTATGAGTAAAACCTGTCATCAGGTTTTCAATTATATTTAGTATCGGACACAATCCCTGACAAATTAGACTGATTGCGTCCGGTACCAAATATAACTGAAAGCCCGATGACAGATTTTTCCTTGGAGTCACTCATATAAAGAAAATACGAAATGAAGACAATGTCCCACTTGTAATTCTTCTTCATCCGGTATCATAATGACATCACTTTCTAATGTTTTAATACGCGGCCTATTAAACTTGCGATTAACCAATTCAGGTAAAGTGTCAAAATATTTTGCTGGACTAAACTTCTTGGCTATAATTGTGAATTCAAAAAAAAGACATTAAATAAATGCGATAATAGGTTAAGATTAATAATAAAAAAAATTTAATAAACCTTCTTTCTTAGAATCAAAAAATATTATATGCTGATGCTGCTTTGATTCAACCATTTCTTTCGATAATTCATCATCTACATTCATATCATTTTGAACAAGATCTGAATCAACAAAATGTAATTCATTTTGGATTTTTTCAATTTTCTATGATAAAAGATAATAAGTTGGGCATAGAAAATTTAATTAATCAAATTATAAAGTAAATTATCAAACCTTATTTCCAAGATCACGTTGAGTTTTAACATAATTTAAATCTTGAGACTTTAATAATTTAATCATATCTCCTGAAAAGGCTGCATTACGTTCTATTACGTGGACGCCTTCCTAAAATTTATTCATGATTAAATAAAAAAATCAACAAATTATAATAACTGTTGTTCTAAGGGAGATAAATATTATACATACTTTAGTTTTGCTATTAATCATTTTAAAGTAAAACTCGTCAGGATTTCTAAAATATGCTTTTTCTCGCATATTTTTGAGCCTGTTTTGTTTTGCATGATAATCTCTTGCTCGAAGCACGTAATCTTTGTGTTTCTCGAGTAAACCATATTTCTCTCTGGAGCGCGGTTGCGCTCGTTCTCTATGGTTACGTCTCTTAACAGCGTTACGTAGAGAAGACATTGAAGTTACTCTATAGTTGGAAGTTTGAGGAATATCGAGATTTGTACACAGTCCAATCAGTTTATATGATTTTTCATTGGTTAATCAATATCTTTGTAAAACTATAAAAAAAAAAAAATCATTAGGTCGATCTTCCTCTACAAATTCCTATCCTTTGATTGTTCTAAAAAAAAAAAAAAAAAAAATGGTAATCTCTTATTCACTTCTTTACATATATGCATATAGAAAAAATTGAAAGAATATAGAATGGTTATTAATCATTTTGCATACTTATTTATTCATAGTCTAAAAGACAAAAGAAAGTCAAAGTTGAGGAAAACATCTCTCTTGGACCACAAGTCCGAGAAGGTGAATTGGTCTTCGGCGTAGCGCACATCTTTGCATCATTTAACGATACTTTTGTTCATGTCACTGATTTGTCTGGCCGTGAAACGATCGTTCGCGTTACTGGTATGGATTGATTTATAAATTATTTAAGAGATCATTTTTAATGTAGTTTTGGCTACGTGGGTCTTGTTAGAGAAAAAAAAAAAAGTATTACATGAAAAGAATATCCCAAATTGCAAAATGAGTCTGCACAAGAGATAAATGGCTCAGATACAATATGCACTGATAAACAATTAGATTTCTATTCATTATATTGATTTAATATACAATTTGTTGGAAGGTTATCACAAGAATTACTTCTAATAATTGCTGCTGAAAAAAAAAAGAATTGGGACTAGTGGTGAAACACATAATCCCTTTTGAACAAAAAAAACTGATGTTGAATCCCTTTGCTTGTTTTCTTTTCGCCGTGTCGCGCATTGTGTCTTCGAATTGTTGAAATCCAGGTGGTATGAAAGTAAAAGCCGATCGTGATGAATCATCACCCTACGCCGCTATGTTGGCTGCTCAAGATGTTGCAGCCAAATGTAAAGAGTTGGGTATAACTGCTTTACATATTAAACTCCGAGCCACAGGTGGTAATGGTACAAAAACACCTGGTCCTGGTGCTCAATCCGCTTTAAGAGCTTTAGCTAGAGCAGGCATGAGGATTGGTAGAATTGAGGATGTTACGCCTATTCCCACTGATAGCAGTAAGTATCATAGTCCTCTCTATTATAATGTTATGTAGAATAGTTTGTTTATATATATATATATATATTGGTTTTTTTTTTTAAAGCTCGTAGGAAAGGTGGTCGTAGAGGCAGACGTTTGTAAAACAAAAAAAAAAATCGAATTTATAGTTTCATTTATTCAGTAATTGCGTAGCTTTATACGATGGTATAAAACAATAAATTATGGATTATAGCCGCCTACCAATAGACGTGCTGAAAAATGACAAGCTTTGTATGGATGACAATGAATGTTTCTAACTAAGCATTTAACATGTGATCAATAATATTCTATCGACTATTATATCGCTATTGGTTTGTGATAAGTTCTTGCCACCTGTATCTGACTATTGATGCTTGACGAAACCAAGACGAAGTGACATAATTTCGTTAATGATTTTATTAGAGCTTCGTCATTTCATTAATTGCAAAAAATTTCATCAAGCATCATTAATTGGGACGAACAAGTCCTACTTTCATGAAAGTTCTCATACACCTCACTTATTCTTGGGTAAGGATGGGTTCGGTTATAATTGTTTCGATCAATTCTTAAATTTTAAATGATTTTTTTCTTTTTGAACTATTAATTAAAGTTTGCTTAGAATTAAATTTTGTTTCTATTTTATAAACAAAAAGAAAGATATCTTTCTGAAATCCAAAATTTAAAATTTCAATATTAGTCAGTTACCGGTTCGGTAACCGGACCGACTTAACTGATTATCACTGATGACAATTTGTAAATTTCTAAATTTTGGAGAAGGTATCTGGCTTTTTGCTTATAGGAAGTATGAATAGAATTTAATTCTAAACAAAAAATCATTTCAAAATTTAGTAAATTGATTATTGCTTATTAGGGTCCGCAATTTGATTTGATTTGATTTGATCAAATATTTGATATCAAATCAAATTCAAATACAGAAATTTCAAATTAAATTGATTTGATTTGACAAATATTTGAATATTTGATTTAATTTTTATTGAAACTATAAAATAGTTATTTCGCAAAATTTTATTAAGTTAATCATCTTTTTCTTTTTATCTGACTAGGTATTTTGATTAGAAGAATATTTTTTACTTAATACTCAAAATCGATTAACTTAGTAAAATTTTGCATAAATTTAAAAATTTAAAAAAGTAATGAAATTTAAAATTTTAAAAATTTCTAAATATTATTTGATTTGATTTGATCAAATTCAAATATGCTTGATATTTGATCTGATTTAATTTTGAGAAACTCTATTGCTTATATTTATTATTTTGTTTTCTTTTTATTTTATTAGTAGTTGCTTTTGTGTTTTGATTTTTTATTTTTTTTTTATATCTTTTCCAGTTTTTGAATCTTGCTTTCTTTTTTTCTAATCATTTCTTTCTTGTTGCTATTTTTTCTTTTTCTTTTATTTTAAAAATTTTTTTTATTAATTTGTTTTTATTTTAATTATTATTTTTCTTTTTTTTTCTGTCTTGATTTCAATTTTATTTAGTTTTGTTTATTTTATTTTTAATAAATACTAGAATTGTATATTGGTTTATTGTCTTTTAAATCAAACTACAGTGCTAAACAAAAGTTTTTTATATCTATATCTGCTTATCGAGAGGTGTTACAGTGTTGAAACTTTCTAAAAACTTAGTAAATAGTTAGCCTAGGTGGTGTATTTTAGCTTTTATCTAAATTTTTTTTAGTAATTGAAAAATTACTAAAAAAAATACACTAAGTTTTAGAAAGTTTCAAGTCTATAGCATCTTTCTGTAAGCAAATATAGGTGCAGAAAAACTTTTGCTAGCACTGTATTATTAAATAAATTTTACTTTTTTGCTATGTTTTGTAAATTACATTTATATTTAATATCTTGTTTAATTAATGATTCTCCAGTCAACTGAAGAATGATCATAGTAAAACGTGACGCGGTTCTATATATAAATTACTATAGGTTCGAAAGTAGAAATTTTCTAGTAATTGTCCAAAGAAAACTTTTTTTCGTACTAAGTTAATCATCTTTGAGTCTCTAAT